GGCTACAAGCAGTAACCCAGCTCTCTGCTTTTAATAATTAGGTGGGTTCCAGGGCATTATCCCACACACATGCCTGGGTTTTCTGCACAGCTGTAACTCCACTCAGTAGTAGGTACTGCACTTACACAGGTGAAAATGACAAAGCGGGCACTTTCTCTGACATTGATCAGCAAGCACTCCCTCCTTCAGTCCACCACAGACTGCTGTATACGGACACTGTGGCTCATGATCTGCACCCCATGCAGATCTCCCCATTAGGAAATGACACTCCCATCAATCAACCCTCTCTAAGCTGCTTAACGAAGATGCTGTGACTCCTTCTACACCTTGTGTACAAGGGATACTATGCTGTGTAGGTGCTCGTCACTCTGCCATAAAGATCTCGCCCTTTGCTCCAGGAAATTTTACTTCTTGGTCCTCAGGTAATGCACTGGTGGACAAATCTGTTTTTCCCACCTTGCATCAACACTTTATACCTCCAGCCCAACATGCTGCAGCTTCTTGCAGAAAGGAAGGATGCAAATTTGGACAATTTCTCAAAAAAATGTACCTCTTTTTTTTAGGAGGATGATATTTCCTCCTTCACCTCACTGCTTATAAACAGTTCACGCAGAAAAGGCAGCAGGCAACAGGCACAAACTGAAATACAGGAAACTCCATTAGAACAGGAGGAAAAAATAAATCCTCTTTTACTGTGAAGATGATCAAACACAAGCACAGGGTGCTCTGTGAGTGCTATGGAGTCTCCGACCATGGAGATATCCAAACCCCGACAGGACGTGGCTTTAGCTGACCCTGCCTGGAGCGTGGGGGTTGGACAAGACAATCTCAAGAGTCCTTGTTCAACTTCCTTCCTCTGAAAAGGGCAGCCACATCATACATCAGGTGAGGAGCTGCTTCAGGCTATGCCTATATGATGAGATACATTTTATTCCATTTACAGTTAAAATAAACAGGTTTTAATCAGGAACATAATATGGGCTGGGGTGCGCACAGGTGTTTTTGGTTTGGTTTCTCTTTTGGTGAAGAAAAAGGGAATAGAGTCCTTTCAATTTTCTTAAGTTATTTAAAGTAAAACAACTGTACATGAGATAAGAGTATCTTAATACATTGATAAACTCCTCATTTGGTGCAACTTAAGCCAGTAACAGTTTTTTCCAATGGTTTCAAAGAGCAGAGGAGGATCTAGATGCTGCAAATATCCCAGTATGCAAACCCTCTGTATGGCTCAAGGGTAATAGTGTTCACTTATTTCCAGTGGAACTGAGGGTGCCCAGGTGTCTGTCAGGAAAGATGAGCAGTGATCCAATGTGTAGATTTTCAAACTCCTGGGCAGCAGCTCCCTACCTGTTGGAGGCACTGCTGTCCCAAGGCACCACAGACGTTCTTAGATGTCAGAGCACCTGCTGCTGACTGGGACCTTGCAGCCTAATGCTGAACACCCAGAGCCTACCAAATGCTGTAAACCCCTGGACAGACCACACAAGCATTCACTGAAGCGCAGACTGGGAGCTTGATTTTGGGTTTCTGGTCTGCGGAATATTTTATTAGTTTATGCAAAGTGGGTGAGTTTTAACACAAAACACTGAGTCCCATCTAAAAATTATTCCCCGGACCAGTGGTCAGGGCACTATGCTGAGATATGGGGCTTCAAGTCCTTGCTGAGAAAGAAGTTATTCTGATCTTCTGCATCCTGAGACAGTACTACATACTACTACACTACACACTTGGACACCTGTCTTCATACGATGGAGGGGCTTCAACCCCATCTTCTTCCTTGGGATCACCTCCTGGCTAGTCTAGATAGTCTCCCAATTGGGCTGGTATCTGCGGTAACCTTCTTACATTTCTAATGCTTTCACTTACTGTATAGGTAACCTTAGTGCTGTATCACACTACATAACTCCTAATTTTCATGTGCCTTCTATAGGCTGAGCACTGACAGGAATAAAGCCTTTATGGAACAAATTCTAAACTGCTGAACTGAGAAAAAAAAACATTAAATTTTATTCCCTCAGCTCTGTTTAGCTTTGTATTTTCTTGACAAATGAAAATAGGCTGGTTACATTTAGTTTTGACCTTCTGACCCAGTGCACTAGTATCATGGTCCCCGTATCTATGTGACAAAACTTTTATGTGAGTCTTTAATTAAAAAGGCAATATTATTCCCTTAGATACTGCAAAACTCCCTTCTTTCCTCTGAAAGTCAAAAATATGACAGTATTTCTTTTACTCTGATGGAGCAGCAAAATTATTTCCACTACACAAAAAAGAAAAAAAAAAGTTCACAAATGAAATAAAAGGTGACTGCTTTCACAATTTACCTGCTAAATAACTTTCTATACCAGCACATAGTACTGCATGTAGAAGATTAGCTGATATTAGGAACATGCCATAAAAGCACCTATTCCTGGAAAAGTGCCTTTAACTGAAGGCATCACTTTTTATTTAGGTGTAGAAATGTATATAGCCACCTATGTACATTGGGATATAGGTAGCAGAAGTGCAGAAGAAACAACCTCTTGAGGTCACAACTGGGGTAATACATTAATTTTAGGGCACTGTACAGGGAAACGGGAGATGTGGACCATTTGGAAAGGGCTGAGAGCAGAAATATTGATTTGAGATGCATAAACAAAGCCTATTGTTAGGACCCCAATATGGTGTGTGGCTGCAGAGCCTGCAGAAGAATGCTGCTGCCGGGCACAGCTGAGGGCATCTGGCCAGAGAACAGTCTTGTGCATGTCTGGAGAGCCCAGTCCACAGCCCAAGCTAAAATAAAGGGCTGAAATGCACAATTGGCCTCACAAAGCAGCAATGACACCGAAAAGAGTAAGAAAGAGTGATGCTGTTGATAAAACCGAAGAAGTGCAATGCCACTGACAGGAATAAGAAAGAATGATGCAATTGATAAAACACAGAGAAAATGACACTGTTGATAAGGCAGAGAAAACAGGTCAGCACTACGTCAAAAGAAGGGACTAGATGTAAACCACCAGAGTCTACAGACCATAGACAGCCTGAAGGAAAAAGGCATCTTGAGGACATTTTCAGCACAAACAGCAATGGAGCTCTAAATTGTGGGCAACAGAAATTGGCAAGACAGGAACAGCTGAGTTAGTAAGACCACAGATACCCTTCTCAGCTTAACTATCTCACACAAGATAAACATCAATGATAAGAACTACTGGCACCAGTTAATCATGCAAGAAGTAACTGCATCACAACAAGGCAGGGTACAACAGTTTGGCTTTCTGAATTTAGAATAGACTGAAGGGACACATGACAATGATCTCCGAGTACCTAAGAAACCATTCTCTGGGTATGAAGCATGGTAAAACAAAAATAATGCAAGTCACTGAACTGCAGTAAAGAAGATATCAGGAAAGCCTTTATTTCTGGTGAGGATACTAACACAGAAGGCTGCATTCGTTGTGGAAGTTGTGGAATCTCCAGGAGCGCAGGTTCAAAATACCAGTTTGGACAAACATCTATCAGGGAAAAGAAAAGTCGCATATAAGTGACCTCCCCTAGAAACAGCGGTGGCCAGGTGGACTTCAGAGAAGTCTTTACTACTATTTCATGGCTGTAGCAATGGTTAGCATCAACACTGTGTTTTGATCATACAAGAAAAGCACACCTTAAGGGAAGTGTTACAATACAAACAAACTACAGCAGTTCACAAAAACGGGCTTAATGATGTTATGTTACTGTAAATTACCAGTTCAGCAGAACATTTAAGCATAGCTCTTGGGTCTTACAGACTTGAGGTCTGACACAAAACACCCAAAGCTTGATGCCCCGAGGAAATACAAAACTAGCCCAGTGACATCTTTCACCACAAAATTAACTCCAGACTTAAGAAACTCAGTAGCAGGAAGAGGTTGAGACCTGGGAAGTGTCAGGTACTGTAGAAACTGCAGAACAGCACAAACTCTGACATGTGGCACATTAAGCAAGACATCTCAAAGCTCATCTTCAGGGACAAGGGGTTAACAAGTGTTCACAGAGGTTTCCTGAAGTAATTGGTAATTAAACAATCATTCCTCAATGTGCATTTCACATGTGGAGGCAGACTGATGAGAACTGGCAATACCATTACTAAGATTTAGTGACCCCGTTTGTCACACTGGCAAATGCACATAAGGCTGCCTGTCGTTAACTAAAGCAAGCTCCACTTCTCAGGGGTTTTCAGCCATCCGCAGCTGCCCAAACCAAGCCCTTCTGTTGACTCCCACGGGCTCCCTGACTTGTGCCACTTCCTGGTGCTGTCTCTTTCCATCTTACGGTACTCTCATCATCTCCTTGCAGTTTCTGTTCCTCCAAAGGCTCCTTCAACCTGAATACACACGGGTTTATTCACAAAGTAAGCAGTGCCCACTGACTTGCTGATTCTGCCTCAGAAAGCCAGAAGAGCAGAAAGCTGAGTGGTTTGACATCCAGCCCTTCTAAGTTGCACACTTTGCATCTGGACACAGCAAAACGTATTTTATGGTTCTTGTTAAACCAGATTAGAGCCTTAGAAAGGTCTCTTCTAGGCCTACAGCCTACGAAGCCACCTACCTTGAGATCTAAGATTTGCTATAATAAGACTTTAGATTCCTATTATAAGAATTTAAAGACATACAGTGTTTGTTGAAAGCTTTCGACTTTAGGTGCACCTGTTCGTGTACAAAGTCCGCCACTGCTTGCCCAGGCCAAGTTCCCCTGTGCGGGAGAGCTGAACTCTCGGGGGCAGCCCGTCCGGCGCCCGAAGGCGAGCAGCGGAGCCGGGCTCCCGCAGGCACCGGGGCATCCCACGGGAGAGCGCTTCCCGCCCGCTTAGGGCTTCCCGCCGCCGTGTGTCTTCGACAGGGGCAAAGAAAATACGAGCAGGTACAGGACTGGACGGTGCCCGGCACCGGTGCGAAGCCCGCTGTGCGCCCGGGGAGCTGGGGAGGAGGGGACAGGGATGCGCATCCCTGGCCCTCCCGCGGCCGCCGGCAAGTCCCGCCACTCACCGATAGTGGAGACGACGGTGCCCACGAAGTAGAAGGCTCCGGTGAAATCCCACCGGGGCCGGATGTCATCGACGCGGATGCCGGCCACACTGGCTTCCTCGTACTCCCGAAGGAAGTGCCGGAGCTCGGCGCGGCTCAGGTTGTGGCGCCGGGTGAAGTTCTCCAGCCGCTCCTCCCAGCGCTCCTTGGCCTCCCGCTCCGTGGGCAGCTCGATGGCCGAAAAGACGGCGGCACCGCACAGCATGTACAGCACGATCAGCACCGCCAGCAGGAGGAACCGCGCGTTGTCCGCGTTCAGGCGACCCCCACTGGAGCAGCAGCCGCCGCGACACGCCATCCTCCGCCCGCGGGACCGGGCTGCCGCGCCGACACGCTACGTCGGGGCCCTCCTGCCGCCACCGCCGCCGGGCATCACGGCACCGCCCGCCAGGCGTTAGCGGGGCCGCGGAGCTCAGGGTGCTGCGGAGCCCGGCGGCGGCGAGCGGCTCTCCCGCGAGCGGGCCGGCACCTCCGCCCCGGGGGCAGAGCGCTGCCCCGCTGCGCCCGGCACGGCCCCGCGGCTTACGGGCTTCGAGCTGCGGCGCATCCTGCGGGCGAGGGAACCTCCCGGCCCGGCCGGTCCCGTCCTGCGGGCCCCCTCAATCCCGCCGCACGCCCCGCAGGGCTCCCGTCTCCGCCAGTTTCATACTCCCTTGTTCCCCCGCCCCGAGCACGTCGGAACGCGGCTCAGGGACAGGCACCGCCAGACGCCTCCTGCTTGACGAGGGGTGGGGGCGAAGGCGGGACCGGCGGCAGCTCGCCCCGCCGCCCTGGAGCACCTCAACCCCCGTCCTGGGCTGCCCGCGCCGTGGCACCGAGGACCCACGGGACGCTCACCTCAGCTGAGCGCGGCCACCGCCCCTTAGGGTCTCCCCCGGTGCAGCGGGCGGGGCGGCACCTGGCAGGGCGGGCAGAGGGAGCGCAGCTGCCCCGCGGCCTCCAGCTCTCAGCGGGGCTCCCACCCTCCCTCAGCGCCTGCGACCTTCCTGCTGGCTGGGGCTGCAGGGGTATCTGATCGCTGCGCGCCCGGGATAACGGAGCGCCCGCAGAGACCGTGAGTGAAACCCCTACAGTTGGTGTGCCCCGGCTATCGGAGGGCTACCGAAGAAAGAAAAATTACTCTCTTTTGCCAAAAGAGGGCACCGCTTTCTCTACACGTCTGGTTACTGGCGGCCCTCTCCACAGGTTGTTAGATGTCCATCCAACACCAGGCAGCCTAAGGGAAATTTTGTGTGGAAGAGAAGCAGGTTTAGGACTGCAGTGTGGTTTAAAACTGAGCTATTTTCAGGGTCAAAGAGTTCTCCATCCAAACCTTCTGGAAAAAGCATTGTTGCTATAAAAAGAAAAAGCTGAACTCAGCACTATCTGGTGACTACTACTGTGCTGAATTCTACTTTAAAATAATTGTGGACTAGAACTGACCTCTGTAAAACATACTGGTATATATACACTTTCTTTCCAGGGAAAGGAAATTCTATTTGAGAAAACATGTTAATAAGGTATTCTTACAACACCTACTTTTATATATATATATATATTCTATTAGTTATGTTGCAGTTACAATGTAATGGCAATAAACACTGAGGTCTTAGTAATTAGATTTCTCCCTTAACGGCAGATAACAGTGCAAGAGTCACTACTGATGGTCTCACAGCCTGAGGTACCTCTACTGGCCTAAGCCCTGGGAGGGGACTGTGGACAGGTCTGTGCCCATATTTGAGAGAGGATCACCCACAGTGTGGCAAATATCTACTTGGGCAGCAGGCACAGAGAAAAACCAAGTCCTTTTCTCACATTGCACAGTAAATCTATAGCCAAGGATGAATGGGACTCATGCTTCCTCTCTGCTTTTTCTATTTGTTGTTACTTGTAGGTGACATATAACACATCACGTTGAAGAATTTTATTCTGTCTTCATTAGCCTGCAGCATAGACTGACATATGGCAATTAAAAATAGTAGCAGTGCTGGAAGACACTGAGCAGCCAAAATAAGAGGAAGAGGAGATGCCAGTCAAAGTAACCAGACTCTGTTCCAACTGCTAAAGGTAACCACATGCTTCAACAAAAAAATTCTGGTGTATCTTTAAAATTATTGATAGTTCCTACTAGAGGGGAAAAAAAAAAACTAATTTCCCTGCTTTGCCAGTCAGAAAGATAGATCTAAATTGGTGCTCTCCCAGCCAGCACAGGCAACAGAACTGACTGAACATCCTCAGTCCACACTCAAGTCTCCATCCATCAAAGCTGTTGTTCTTGGCTGGCTTCGATCAGCACAGTGGCATCAGGAGCCTTTTACTTCTTGCAGACATGGCATCAATGTGGTTTACCAAAGGAACACTAAGAACAATCACATTATCCAGAGAATTATCCATGGAAAAATTATTCTACGATATTGAGTTCCTCTTATTATTTACATATTGTTTTGTTAGTCAGGAATAGTTATGGCAAAACCATATAGGCAAGACCAATATGGTCTTGGGCATAGAGGAAGCATTACTAAGAACATCCAGCATGGTGTTGAAAGACAATGAACTAAACCACTGTCCTTGGGCATTAAAAATTGCAAGTTCCCTTAATTTGTCAAATCTGATCTTCACCAAACTAAAACACTATAAAGGCACTGCAGTGATTTAATCTCTTTAGAAAGCATCATGCTCCCTAATTAGGGGTAGAGCAAATGTAAGTTGATACTAACTGGAATCCTGAAGTAGAAAATGAGAAGATGGATGACAAATATCAGAGGTGTGTCACCTTTTATTGTTTTAAGCTCCTTTTCTTCCTTTACTTCCCCTGTTTTAATTAAAGTACTTATTTGAAAGGATACTGTACTTGTAAAAAAAATCACTATTCCTGTTGCTGTTGGGTGGATAGCTGGGAAAACGCAAAAAGTATAATGATACAGTCACCCATCTGGAGCATTTAAGCATGATGGAATAAAGAAATGGGTGTGTTCACTGGCATAGGGAATAAAACCCCAATTTATCTTTTAGTTTTAGTTAAAAAACCCCCAATGGCTAAACATGTTGCTAACATTTAAATTAATCCCAAATAGAAGTTAACATCTAGTAAGCTGAAACACTGAATGCATTGCCTCAGCACATGCACTTGTGGCATCGTCAGGAAACCTGCTATGTTTGCCCTACTCCTTAGCAGCACAAGCACACAGCTCCCTACTGTCTATGTGTGCAGGTATTTAGTGACAAAAAGATTGGTGGTGGTGAGGCTTAGCACGATTGTAAATAATAGGAAAAAAAAAACCAAAACCAAAAATCAATGTCTAGTTCTGTTGATAATGTTTGATGATAACCCTGTAATTAAGAAAGCTACAGTCACTGAATACCACAGTAGTGATTACCAACAAATACCTAGTCAGAACAGGACTATTGTTAATGCATCTGCAAATTACTGTGGAAGACTCACACAGAGATCTAGTTACTCTCATTGACAGTGTCAGTCCTTTTTAATTAAGCATCTCCTTTGGAAGATAAGCTGGTACACTTAACTGCTTATCTTTAGAGAAGCTGTGGGAGAGCTGCAATTTACTCTTGAGCAAGTTTTATACATAATGAAATATCTTGCTAAAGGAGCAAAGAAACCAGCCTTCTGCTACCTTTGATGCTGAACAAATTCCTTCTGGAACTTAAACTGGATGTTAACAAACTTATATGGAAAAAATAAAAATAAAATATCCTGGAACTTCATGAACATGTGACACTTGGGACATTGAGAGTAGGCCAACAATGTCCCTGTTGCTTTGCTAAGAGTTTCAAACAGATTGCATCTCTAGCAGAGTCCTACTGAATGTGAAAAAAAAAATAAAAAAAAATCAGAGAATCGTAGAATGGTTTAGGTTGGGAAAGACCTCAAAGATAACTGAGTCCAACCGTTAACCTAGCACTGCCAAGTCCACCACTAAACCATGTCCATAAGCACCACAGCTACATGTCTTTTAAATACCTCCAGGGATGGTGACCCCACCACTTCCTTGGGCAGCCTGTTCCAATGCTTGACAACCATTTCTGTGAAGAAATTTTTCCTCATCTCCAATCTAAAGCTGTGGCACAACTTGAGGCTGTTTCCTCTTGTCCTATCACTTTTTATGTGGGAGGAGAGACCAACACCCCCAACCTCACTACAACCTCCTTTCAAGTAGTTGTAGAGAGCAGTAAAGTCCCCCCGAGCCTTCTCTTCTCCAGACCAAACAACCCCAGTTCCCTCAGCAATTCCTCCTAAAACTTTTTCTCCAGATACTTCACCAGCTTCATTGCCCTTCTCTGGACCCACTCCAGCACCTCAATATCTCTCCCAGAACTGAACACAGTATTTGAGGTGCAGCCTCACCACTGCCAAGCAGAGGGGGACAATCATTTCTCTGGCCCTGCTGACCACACTATTACTGATACAGGTCAGGATGCTATTGGCCTTCTTGGCTGCCTGGGCACAAGCTGGATCATGTTCAGCTGTAATGTTGCTTCTTGCCTTTATCTAGTGTACTCATTCTTCACAACACAGAAGACACTTAGGAGTGAAGACAACTGAACCTGCCTTTATAGTAGCGATTTTCAGGGACGAGAAATGTGAAAAGTTTTTCCATCTCTTTCACATCAGTTACTAAAGTGCAGCTGATAAACACAATTGTATTCCAGTCTTCCTACAGAAGCAAAATTTATACTTAATACCCTATAGGGGTATTTTTATTTGAAGATATTTGCAAATTAAAATTTACAGTTGGGCAAGTGAGGCAGAGATAGATATCTCTTAAAAGTCCCAGAGGAGACTCCTCTAGAACAACTTCCACTTCTAGATGCCTCTTTGCGTTTGCATGCTGTCTATCTTCCAGCATTTCAACAGGTAAGAAAATCACCACTGGGTTGGTAGCTTAATTTTCCAAACTGCTCAACAACCAGCTACAGTTCAGAGTAAAGTTTTTTGTTTATTCATGCTTATTGGCAATAGACCTGTGTAGGGCAGTGATCTGCTTGCTAAGGGAGTAAGAGACACATGAATCTGTGTGTAAAGTCAGAATAGAGTCAGAAAAAGAATCCAGGAGCCCTCTCACAGTCCTCCATTCTAAGCATTGGAAAACACTTTAAACTAAAGGATTAACTTTTTACTCTAGTTAATACAACATCACAGCTTGAAAGCACTCTAGCAACATTTAGAAAGCAGTAACTGGGAATCCATCTGAGTAGAGATAACATTTTGATAAATGGATAAGCAGAAAAGCCAGTGTATTACAAAAAGAAAAAAAAGTCGAGCCCATGAAGACTAGATTAGCATATGAACTTACTTCTCTGAACTTAACACAGCTCCTTTCAGCCTCCAGTACTTTTTGCTGTTTCTTTCTCTTGCCCTTCAGAATTCCAGTTACAGTTGAGATTAAAAGAAACACAGCGGTAAGAGAGAAGGAATAGTGTGACTACTGTCAGTGTTCAGCTAAA